ACATCAAATTCTGGGATATCCTCCTCAGCAGTAAAGATAGGCGAGACAAAAGTAGAAGCCAAATCAAAGGCATCCTTTTTGCGAGCCTGAGCCCGCGTAACTGCGCATGCAGGGAAAATTCCTGTATTTGATTCGGTTAACCCTGGTTGATCAGACAACACAGGCCTATCAAGCATCTCCAACACAGGGAAAACTTTTCCGCCAGCTAAATCATTCCCTAAAAGGAAATCTACCCCTTTGACAGGCAGTTCTTCGCGTACACCGACCTGCACCAATCCTGTACACAACTCCGATTGCAGGTATATCTTGTGCAATGGAACTTTAACCAGGCCCATCTCAATTCCCTGCACGAGGACATTACTGCCAGAATAAGTCTGCTCTGAAAACGGCAGTACACCTGCTACTACGAAGGATTGGCTTGTGCCTGTATCACGCAACATTCTAACCTTAACTTGTCCAGCATGATTATCTGACATTGAAATCAACCCTTCAAAAATAAAAGGATCATAACTGGCCTCCGGTTTTTCACTAACCCCAACCTCCATAACCGGGACTCTTTTCACAAACCCAACACTTTTCTGTGTGGAGCTTTGCTGCCTCTTCCTTAACGTGATACAGTCAGCAATCAAGTGCCCGGACTTATGACAATAAAAACACTTCCTGTCTTCTTTCAATTTCGGAACACTCTGTCTAGCACGTGATTGGTCAGCCATAAGCATGAAGTCAGTTGCCGTCTTTTCCGAACGGACAGGAACAAACGCACTTTTGACGCCGCTCTCCATAACACACCAATGACCTTTTCAAACAAAGGAAGTTGAGCGTGCAGCGTCATTTCAGTGCCTTTTAAAAATAAAGTCTCTCTTGAGAAGTCCAGAAGAACATATGGAGCCCTCGGCTGCTGTCAGCTGTCAATCTAGGAGCATTTCTGTAGATTTACATAAAGTGTTCCCAAAAAGTTTGGACACTTCAACAAGGATAGTTCACCCAAAAATGGACATTTTGTCAGTATTTACTCACATCATGTTGTTCCAAACCCTTATGACTTTCTGTGGAATACAAATGAAGATATTTGTAAAAATTATCCAGTAAAATTATGTTTTAGGACCTCATGGAGTGGTCAAAAACAGTTTAAATAATTTATTTCTGTTTTTTATTTTTTACTGATACAAGCTGATTTTATATTTTGTTATTTAAATGCAATGATATTTTTAACCCTGTAAAGCCTGACATATTAAATGATAGTCAGAAATATATATATATATATATATATGTATGTGTGTGTGTTTGTGTGTGTATATATGTACATATATGCATATATATATGCATATGTATATATGTGTGTGTGTGTGTATATATATATATATATATATATATATATATATACACATCAGGCTTTTATGGCACATATAGTATGATATAGTGAGAATATGGTGCTGATAGCTTATAATGTAAATAAATGAGGTATTTATAACAGTACTGTATATCAGACTGCTTATATAAAATGCATAACACTATATCTCCCAATAATATATCTTAGTAAGATTTTTAAAACGTTTATAGTTTTAGAATCAAAGCTGTGTAGTTTTTTTTTATTAATTACGTAAAATGCAATGCAATACAATGATGATTGAAAGATGAACAAACAAACATTCCTTAAAAGCCTGATGATCATTATACGCTTGCATTTATACATGATTTCTCTAAATAAATTAAAAAAACAGTTTCACGGCAAAAAGACACGTGAAGCTCGAGCTGAAGGTGAACGTTTGTACAGTTATATTAAAAGGCCTTTTACTTCATAACAACACTAAACTTTCAATCAGACGACAGAAGGCATGACCGTAGATTGTGTGCAACAGGTTTTCAGCTAAGTTTGATCATGTTGATCATTTGGAGGCCTTGGAAATGTGCATATCAAATATGATACAGTAGGATATATAGGGCTAAATGTGACTTAAGTATCCAAATACATTTTGTGGCCATGCACTATGCAAGGCTTCTAATCCATGTTTGAGAAGTTCTCTCAAACGCAGTGCAGCTGTAGTTCTACTCTTCTGTTTATTATATTTCATAGCACAGTGGCCCTAGAAAGCAGCGTTTAAAGTGTTATGATGGCTCCAGCAGATAGTGCTCAGTCCCCTGTGAGAAACATATGGCATTAACCTGTGATGCATGCAGCCAGTACTAATGAAGACAGATGAGGGCGGCTGTAGTCTTCCAGTGTCCCGTCTAATTCATTTCACTCTACATATATGCCGCTATAAAACTGTCACCTTTTGCGTGGGAGAGCCGTGTAGATTTGTGTGTCTCTGGATTCATCACTGGTCACTGAAATCCTCAAGAGTTTTCATTTTCTCTCGTCACATGTTGTGTCGACTTTGTTCTTTGATCTGACGAAGGTGTATTTACACGCCTTTAACTGTTAGATGCTGCAAATAAGGAAGATTAAGAATGAATATAGAACTATTGAAGTAGATATAATGTACAGTGTGATCTAAAATAAATATTTTATATACACTTTCAAATATATGCTCGGTCACGATGTTGCTAAAGTTTAAGGCTGCTTTTTTGCACTTGTTCTGTCTGACTCTAGATACTTTGGTGGTTCACAACTGCATATTTTTGTGCTGCTTTTATGCAACATTGCATCTTTATACCACATAATTTGCACGCATCCTAAGTCTTAAGCCAGCTACTCTGTAATAGATTTAAACTTACTTTAAATAAATTGTAAAATTTTTATAGTATTTTTTTTAATTTACAAAATATATTGATTATTATTTTACATAACTGCATACATCATATGTCATTATAAATATGAATGTTTTAATTTATTTAAAATTAGATTTAAAATAATTGAATCACTATCAAATTATAACTTGCATTTAAATAAATTTAAAATGTAATTTTTTTTATTTTATTTTACAAAATTACATATTTTGTCATTTTTATAAGGTTTATAATCCATGAATTTTTGCATTGGAAAAACATTTGTTTATACCTAATTAAAATGAATTGACACATCATTTTACATATCTATACATTTTTATTCAAATATAAATTTATTACATTATTTTTAAAATATAATTATTATTTACTGTTTAAATATTTACATAATTACATACTGTTTGCGTACTATTTACATATTTTGTCAAATTAAAATTTATTTATAAATAAGATAAATAAAAAAAATAAATAATTATTAATTAATAAAAATTAAAATATAAAAAATTGTGTGCAGTTCAAATTATGTAATTTGTTTAGTATTTAAATTTAACTCATTACTATGTATTAATAATATGTATGAATTAATATTTTAATTAAAATGAATTAATTTACATATGAATTCATTTTAAAATAAATGTAAAAGTGATTTATTTATAAAATTACACATTTAACATCTTATATTTTTGTGCTGCCTTTATGCAACGTTTTATTTTACACCTAATTTGCAGCAGACACACATCCTGCTCAGAGCAATCTTAAGCCAGCTACTCTATAATAGAATTAAAATTACATTAAAACAGCATTTTTATTATTTTTTACATTTACAGAATATATTTATATTTACAATATGTAATTAAGTATAAATGAATTATTGTAAATTAAATGTAAAATTATACATTCTAAATTCATTTTATATAAATGTATAATATCATATAATATAGTTATAATATCTTATATAATGTCATATAACTGATGTAAAATATGCATTTTTATGTATGTACAATTATTTAAAACTTTCATATTATGGTTCCATTTAATTCACTTTAAATGTAAAATGTACGTATGGAATTTGAAAAATCGACATATTTGGTTATTTGTATTTATTATTTGAATTTATGGAAATGTATTACAAATTGTGTGCATTAAAAATTATGCAATTTGTTTAACATTTCCATTTAATTAATTTTTAAGTAGTTTTTTTGTATTGCTTTAATAGTACATGTGGTCATATCAAAGAGCTTGATTGTCTGTTGGTAGTTTGCACTGCTAACAGTCCTTTCTCTGTGAATGTTGAAGTCTGGTCTCTGTGGTGTTCAACAGGAGGCACAGATGCCATCGCTCTGAGCGCCGCTCCTCTGTCCTTCATCCAGCATCCACAGAAAACCACTAACCCTCGAGCCGCTGCAGGTGAGCCGCTGTAATCGTGTGTAACCAAATCTGCCATTTGCTAATCGTCCCGCCAAGAGGCTGCAGAGCCGTAATTAGCTCCTTCTCTGAGCGGCCCACCCCTCTTGTCCCTTTACTATCACAGGATCCTTCACACTCGCTCTCATTGGTCGGTTCGGCTGACCGTCCAATCCCTCTCAAATGTCGTGGCATTTGGCAAATGTTACTGAAATCTCGTTTGCTGACATTCACCAACTTTTGGGGCGTGTTTTGTGGCCGGCACTGCCCCATAAATATGGATGCCGCGGTGTTTGGTGTTCCTGTCGTCCCACAAATAAGCCGCACGCGGTGTTTAACCTTTTAGCTGGATGCTCTCAAATATGGGTCAGTAATCCAGCAGAATGAAGCAGACGGAGGCAGCACTAAAAACTGACAGGCCGTCACGCTCTTCTCTCATGCCTTTGTTGCGTTTATTTTATTTGCTTGTGTGATATTTGAAACTTAATGTTCCAGATACATGCTTTGTCAATATGTGTGCCTTCTGTGTAAATTTCTAAGGATGATAATTAATTATTTATTGCAGATTATAATTAGTTTTAGCACTAATGGACAAAATTTGGAATAATTTTTTTAAGTAAAAGAATTCGCTTATACTCACCAAGGCTGTATTTATTTGATCAAAAATACAGTAAAAGCCGTAATATTGTGAAATAATATTATAATTTAAAGTAATTGTTTTCTATGTGAATATATTGTAATTTATTTCTGTGATGCGCAGCTGTATTTTCAGCATCATTACTCCAGTCTTCAGTGTTCAGTGTTGTGAGATGTAAACTTGGACCGTCAGAATTGTGAATTTATATCAGCAAAGAATAAAAAAGGTAATTGTGACTTTTCATTTTATAATTAAACTTTTTTCTAGCAATTCCGAGATATAAACTCAAAAAAAGCTAAGAATTGCGAGATATAAACGCTCCAAAAAATAACTGACTTTTTTCTTGTAATTCTGTTTTATTTGTTTCCACCATGAAATAAAAAATAAAAAAGGTAATTGCAACTTTTTATCTCACAATTCAGACTTTTTTCCCCTCACAATCAGGGACGGATTAGCCAAGGGCACTAGACCAGAGGGGAGCCCAGCCGAAATACTGCTCCTCCTGGAACGCGATTTCAACCATGCCCCCTCAGGATTTTAAGCAAAGTGGATTTTGAATGCAGCTTCCAAAAGACCAAAAATGGCAGAATAATATTTATTTTATATTTAATACGACCATTAAAAATTTTGGGGTGTTTTCTTTTAGAAATGAATACTTTTTATTCAGCAAAGATGCAATAAATTGATGAAAAGTGACAGTAAAATTTATAGTGTTACAAAACTTTCTAATCATCAAACAATCCTGAAAAAAAAAGCATTGATTTATTGTATCTTTGAAGACTGGCGTAATGATGCTGAAAATTCAGCTTTTCATCAGAGGAATAAATTACATTTTAAAATATATTAAATTGTAATAATATTTCACGGTACTTACTTTTTTAGTGTATTTTTTGTCAAATAAATACATAATTAAAACTCATCATAAAAATCATAAAATATCAGAAATATTTTAAACATTTGATCGGTAGTCTGTTTTTTCCCCACCTGTTTTATAATCTAGCCAGACGGGTTTTTACAGTGCTGTGCATTATAAACATTATCACACAGGATTCTGTTGAGCTTATGAATGCAATGGCCAATCAGAGGCATTCAGATGAGTCATCGCTGAAAAGCCCGTGTTTTGTTCAGTGCGCGCGCTCGCTGACTGAATGCTGCTCTCTGGCGAATTCTCTCATCATAAACAAAGTGCAGATGTGTGTACGATATTCACTTCACAGTATAAACAGCTTCAGTGAGTTGTTGAGAGTGCTTGAACTCTGTCTAGACTGAAGTTAATATTCTTTGATAATGCAAATATTCTTTGCTCTCTTTATGTACAATGAAAGTGTTATAATTAGTAACTTACTATGTTTTTATTAAATTTACGTTAAATACAAAGTCAGTCGTATTAAAAATATTCTATGACATGACACCCATATCTAGTACAAGTTAAAAGACGGGTTTTATGCATAGGCTAGTTAATAGATTACACTAATATTAGGCTGCTTTTCCCATAGCCCATTATAGATAGACTAACATGATCTATAAAGGTGCAAAATGCATTTACTTATATTTGAGAATCGTGATATTTTATGATATAGTTAACAAGTTTGGGAAAATTTCGAATAAAAAAGGAACAAAATTTCAACCGAGGGGGGCCTTTAATCGGTCCGTGCCCAGGGCACCGCTGTGTCATACTCCTTCCCTGCTCACAATAGCAAGTTGATATCTCACAATTCAGACTTTTCTTCTTAGAATTGCCTGTTTTATCTTATAATGCTGACTTTATATCTTGCGATTCTGAAAAAAAAAAAATCAGAATTGGGAGATATAAACTGAACTGGGAGAAAAAAGTCAGGAATGCGAGATAAAAAGTCGCAATTACCTTGTCTTTCTTTCTTTCTTTCTTTTTTTCCATCCTGTGGTGTAAACAAGCTTCCATACATTTGTCTTGGTATGAAAAGCTTTGAAATGTTTCATCAGGTAAGAGATTGATATTTTTGAAAGAAAAGTATGAACAAATATAGTATCATCAAACTTACGGAATTGCAAAATGTAATTATATTTACATTTATATTCTCTTAATTAGTTTTTTTCATTATTATATTAGCACTCCTAGTTCCTGTAAACAAGCTTTGTTTTTACAGCAGAAGTACCAGAAATATCTTGTCGTAGAATATGAAAAAAGAAAAAGTTGAGAACCACTGCATAAACAGGCACCACTAAAAAGTGTTCTAACTCTCTAAAGCGACTGAACCGCTGAGATCTTCTCAGATTTCTGCCTTTGGCTCGGCAAACTCACCTTAGTATGAATTGTTAACTGAGCTTCACTGCGGCACACATCAGCTGTTAGCATGACTCTAACACAGTGACCATTCATCTTCTCTGTCCCCTGATTGGCTCAGATGACAGGACAGGAAGAGGAGGGCCGTCGCCGTGGGAACAGGACACAGCTGGCGATGACAGCTTCCCGAACATGTGGCGTCCAGATGGAGGCGGAGAGGAGGAGGACACACCGGTCACCCCTGACATCGGGGAGGAGAGCATCTTGTGCGGGACAGAGATTGGGAGACAGGCTAATGAGGTGAAGGAGGGTCCTGCGGAAAAAAAGACTGTGGAAGAGGGAGAGGTTTTGGGGGAGCTCTGTCTGATGGCGGAGGAGGCTGAGGACGCAGCTTTGGCTCTGGATCCTGCACAACTACCTTCAGTTACTCTTGAGCAAACCGCCTGGGAAAATGCAGACTTTCAAGCCTCTGTGGGGCTGCCGAGAGCTCGCTTTGAAGATATTTCGGACGGTTCCTCCATTAAGAAGGAGCCGGTTGAGCAAAGTGACTCTGTTCTGATATAGGACGGGGAAATGAAGGTCTGAAGGGTTTGGAAATGCCGAAACGTTGCAATTTATTGGTCAGATAAAAAGCAGATGAATAAAACAATCCACTTTACATACAGTATGTAATACTGAGGCAAAAAAAATCTATTTCCAATGTTTTGTTTCATTCACTGCAAAAAAAAAAAAAAGATTTTCTTACTCAGTAGTTTTGTCTTTGTCTTATTCTTAAAGGGGTTCTATTATGCTCTTTTACAAAGTCTTGATTTTGTTTTGGGGTGTACTAGAACATGCTCTCATACTAGGTTGCTCGAAAAACACATTATTTTCACATATTTTACATTATTACAGCTCCTCTCTCCCCA